CTGGGAACTGTCGCTGGTGCGGCTGATCATCTCCCATGTGCAAAGGCTTATGGCACTTGTAGACCGCCATCAAATCACTCAGCCAAACGCATAGGCCTGGCAAAACCCCCCCATCAGCCCACAAGGCCCAGACCGAAACGGACCAAAAGCGAGAGCGACGGCAGAAGCTGTGGTTCCCAAAGTCCAAACATCCGCTGGTTCGTGAGTAGTCCTTCTTATATAACTTCCCTGCAAACTCGGAAAAGGGTTCTAGACAAGACTAGTGGGACCAGTGACCCTTGGGCCGTTCAAGGAAACTGAACATTCACGCGATTACTTGCCAGGAAAAAGCAGGCCCGCCTCGCCGCACAGGCTCCTCTCCCTCGTGCCAATCCAGAGATTGATAGCAGTTCCATTCTCGGCCCTGGCCATATTCTTGACCTGGCCAATTCCAAATTACATTTTGCGATCAAGCCGTGTGCACCGTTGGTCCACGAAAAGTTTTCTTATCCAAAAAAAATGCACCATTGCTGAACGGAAGACAAACATAGGCACTTCCACCATTTTACACAGACTTCACACGTTGCTCACACATCCCAGATTCCAGGCTGTCAAGTTCGTGAAAGAGCTGCAACTCTCCAACGATCAACATCTCACAACCGGTCCTTTCAGTCATCGCTTTCGCATCGCACATCGCTTTCAGTCGCTTTCGTGGTTGAAACAGGTCTGAAAATCGAAATGCTGTCAAGGCACCCATGAACAGAAGGGGTCGTCCACATCCGGAGGCTTGGTAGCCGTACAAAGCGCACAGCAAACGTACTCGCTCGTAGAAGCCCAGATTCTCCTCAAAAAAAGTCCGTGATGTCCCAAAGCAGAGGAAAAGCTCGGTGGAATTTTAAAACGCGCCAACTGATCAACTGATCTCAGTTGGGTTGCTTGCAGTTTCTATTGTCTCAGCATTCATAAAGTACGACACTGAGTGTGCAATAGATTTGAGTGTCATTTTTACTTCTCAGCAAATCGATCAATATGTGTTATCTTTACGTAAGCTTTTAAACTCTAAATCTAGCAACCCACAAGCAGAAAGAACAATGAGAAGCCCTCACACGATGGTCAGTTATCAGTCCCATCAGGTCCGACATCTGAACTCGACCATTCCATGGACATGTTTGCCAAGCCGACAATCGTGAAAAACTCTTGAGAACAAGTGGAAAACAAATCAATCTTCTTTCAAGGTCTCTTCTCTTCGCATGGAGCCGACAAATCATTGTCTCCATGGTGATTTAACATGATGGCTTTCATCCACATTTGGCTCCACCGGAGCGCAAGATCCCACGATCCCGTTTTCACCTTCTTCCCCATCTTTTCGATCATGCTGCCCTTCATGTTCGCCACCTCCCAAAACGGAAACAACTGTGAGTCCATCATGCCAGTTCTGAAACACAACAACAACCGCCATCAAACGCGCATCTCCAGGAAAAATCCGACGTTCAAAAAACACAAAAATGGGGATGAACAAAATTCTAGAACTTGCTGGCATTAGCCACTAACCCCCCAAACTCGCCTGCAATCTAGACTTGAACCGCCCAAACGGCTGTGAAATTCTGGAAAATAAAAGGCCTGCTACCCGGATCGGTCTCCGATCTGGAAATTCTGCAGCCGGGGCCTCATCATGCGACAAAGGCACCACATAGCGCTCGTTCTGCATGTACCTCACCACTCGCACCCGAGGCAAACAAAGAGGTAGGTAGAGCTAGAGGTAGCTGTTGGTACGGGTTGATTCGCTCTGCGGGACTCTGAAGCATACACTGCTTCAGATGGGCCTGCACTCCATGTGCAAGCAAAACTGTTTTAAAACCTGTCCAGATTCAATGAAATTTGCCATCAACGCTTCTCAAACCTTTTGGTGGGGACCTTTCATCATGGCCTCCTCGTCACTTCCCACTACCAAGACATGTTTGAGGATCTAAAGTTCTCCAGTTCCAACATTTCAAGATATTTAGGGTTTAGATTCCCAGCACCAATGAATAACTGAACAACCAAAAAACGGCAGGGGCCCGGGTCAGCCCAGGTGCGTGGCACGCCACGTGAGCTTGTCATGGTTCGATGGCTTGTTCCAAGCGGGCTCCTGTTTGTTCCACGAAGCAAGAAGAGATGGACCCAATTACACGGTGTGACCCGACCAAAAAAGTCACTGCAATGTCCGCCCTTGCGCCGAAGCACGTTGGCCTTTTCATGAGCTTCGATTGTTCAAAATTTGTTGCTGCTGGCCTTGAATATGCGGGAACGTGCTGGCCCGTTGATGCTCCCGTCCCGCGCGCCTGTAAAGAAATTACTTTGCTTCGAGTGATCCCCACCATGACATTTCGAAACAGCCACGTTGACATTACCCTCGTTGTGTATTTCAGCCCATAGCACAAGTCCTTCAGCGCCAAGTCTTGCTGTTTTGTCCGAAGCGAATGCTTTCATCAGGAGACCTGTGCCCAACTAATAATACAACTCAGATCACTTCAGTAGTAGTCCTACTGGGCGCCCCAAAATTGGGAAACTTCCACGGCCCGAGCAGTAGTAGTAGTAGTAGTATATAGTAGTATATAGTAGTATATAGTAGTATATAGTAGTATATAGTAGTATATAGTAGTAGATAGTAGTAGTAGTAGTCGTCGTCGTCGTCGTCGTCGTCGTCGTCGTCGTCGTGGTAGTGGTAGTGGTAGTCGTGGTCGTGGTCGTGGTCGTAGTCGTAGTCGTAGTCGTAGTAGTAGTCGTAGTAGTAGTCGTAGTAGTAGTCGTAGTAGTAGTCGTAGTAGTAATCGTAGTAGTAGTAGTAGTTGTTGTTGTTGTTGTAGTAGTGGTAGTACTAGTAGTAGTGATAGTAGTAGTGGTAGTAGTAGTAGAAGAAGTAGTAGTAGTGGTAGCGGTAGTGGTAGTGGTACTGGTAGCGGTCGTGTGTTTGTGGTTGCGTTTGTGGTTGCGTTTGTGTTGCGTTTGCGGTTGTGCTGGTGGTTGCGTCTTTGTCGTTGTGGCTGCTGTTGTGTTTGTGGTTGCGCGCTTGTCATTGCGAGTTTGTGATTGTGGCTGTGGTTGCGTTTGTGGTTGTGTGTTTGTGATTGTGTTTGTGGTTGTGTGTGTGGTTGCGTTCGCGATTGTGTTTGCGGTTGCGCTTGCGGTTGCGTCTTTGTCGCGGTGGCAGTGGTTGTGTTTGTGGTTGCGCGCTTGTCATTGCGTGTTAGTGGCTGTGGTTGTGTGCTTGTGGTTGTGTGTTTGTGGTTGTGTGTTTGTGGTTGCGTGTTTGTGGTTGCGTGTTTGTGGGTGTGTGTTTGCAGTTGCGTGTTTGCGGTTGTGTGTTTGTGGTTCTGCGTTTGTGGTTGCGTGTTTGTGGTCGTGTGTTTGCGGTTCTGTGTTTGTGGTTCTGTGTTTGTGGTTGTGCGCTTGTGGTTGTGTGCTAGTGATTGTGTGTTTGTGTTTGTGGTTGTGTGTTTGTGATTGTGGCTTTGCGGTTGTGTGTTTGCGGTTGTGCGTTTGTGGTTGCGCTTGTGGTTGTGTGTTTGTGGTTGTGTGGTTGCGGTTGCGTGTTTGTGGTTGTGTGTTTGCGGTTGTGTGTTTGTGGTTGCGTCTTTGTGGTTGTGTGTTTGTGATTGCGCGTACGGTTGTGTGTTTGCGGTTGTGTGTTGTGGTCGTGTTTGTGATTGTGCTTGTGGGTGCGTCTTTGTGATTGTGTGCTTGTGGTTGTGCTTGTGGTTGCGTTGGTGATT